TATGCAATATTTGGAGTTGTGATCCGTAAATTGAGGCGAATGAGTGCAAAATGAAAATCATCAGAACTTCCCTTCAACTTTGACTGAACATAGGTTTTGACCTCTTTCCAGAAACATATCTTCCAATTTGATTAAGAGTTCAAATTAAATTCTTAGACCTTAGCGTTTGAAGTGATAAGAGTTTCTGATCGGCTCTTGACAAAGAAAAAACACTAGTACTGTTTATTCGCTAGCCAACCTGGTCGCCTTATTTTTTATAAAAATTCAATTTCTTTTTTGTTAGTTCCTCCGCCGTGCCAGTATCCAGCGGACATCCTTTTTATGATAGATTCCTCTAAGACTTTTGACGAGAAGGAATTTTTACAGCATAAAGCCTTCGTAGAGGTCATGGCAAAAAGTTTCGGAAATAATACTCGTTCTGCAGTTGTAACCTACGGAGAAAAACCTTCTATAAAATCAAACTTCGATGACTCTTTGAACATAACTTACTTTCTGAGCGTTGTTCAAAGTATAGTGAAAGACGACGTAAACGATAATCGACTAGACACAGCTATCAATATGGCCACAACTGACCTATTTCCAAAAGCACGACCTAGTGCGGCGAAGTTGGCAGTGGTCGTCACTGATGGAAGTCAAACAAGTGGACCAAATGCCTTGGAACTTCAGCAAGCTTTCGATGCTTCCGCTAAGGCAGGTATTCGCACGGTTGCTTTAGGGATTGGCAAGGCCTTGAACGTGGAAGAGTGGCGCAGTCTTGTTCCGCGAAAAGAAGACTTCCTTCAAATTGAGAATTCTCAAGATATGACTTTAAAGATACGTGACATAGCAAAGCAAGTTTGCGCAGCAGCAGGTAACAAAATGTGAAAAATATATTATCTGCCTTTCCGGGACGTAAATGCTTCCCATCCAAAACAAAATGACGAGGGAGGACTAACCTCCTCTTCCCCTCCCCTCATAGCCATCATGGAGTGCACAAAGACCGCAAAGAACCACAGTTGCAATACTGAAATATGACGTAAGAGCTTAGAGTGTCCAAGATGACTATTTAACTTTCCTTAACTGATGGCATGTGATAGTGTCGTCTTATCGTCTGGATGGGTGTAGTCCCGAGAAGGACTGTTGTCGGTAGTAGTGACTGACGTTACAACAAACTTAATTTAGCAGCTGTAGTTTTGTTTTTTCAATCAAAATTTTCTTGTTTAACACGTAGAGCCGATCGAGGAACCAACCTGTGGCTACGCTATGGATATCATCTTTCTTGTGGATTCTTCAGACAGAATCGGTATCGACAACTACGACAAACAAAAATCTCTTTTAATATCCATCGCAAGGAGTTTTGGGATCTCTCACAACACCAGTCGTGCGGCTGTAGTACGGTACAGTGACTCCGCATCTGCTTATTTCCAATTCGAAGATTCATCGAGTATCAATAAATTTGAAAGAGCTATTCATAGAATGTCTCTCCAAAAAGGTCCACCAAGACTGGACAAAGCGTTTGATGTCGCCTTGGCAGACGTCCTTCCTCAAGCTAGAAGAGGAATACCTAAAATAGCATTTGTCGTGACGAACGGTAAGCAAAATTCTGGCGAGGATATGAAAGCTCTAGACGCAGCTTCTGAGCTGTTAAGGAGGGCAGGGGTCAAGGTGATCGCCCTGGGCGTTGGCACAGAAGTTGACCTTGAAGAGCTAAAGATCATTGTAGAAGATGAGGAAGAGCACATTGTGACAGCTGAATCTTATAGCGAATTGATTTTGAACAAGGAAAACATCAGTGAAAAGATATGCGAACAAGCAGGTTAGTGCAATTTCCCATGAGTCCCCAAAACATGTAGGCAATTTAACCTCCCAGAGAAAGCAGAAGTGAAACCAGCTCCTGAGAAGTTATTAAATTTAAACTTAACCCCACTATCTAAATAATAATAAAATATTTGTAGTTTGTTTACAAAAAGTCCTTTCAGAAAAGAAGTCTGAAAAAATTCAGATGCCAAAAAAATTCTCCAAAAAAGCAAAAATATAAAGAAAAAAAGACCGGATAAAGGTGTTTATATTTGGAACATTACAGGTGATGAACTAAATCTCCTCATTCTCAAATAAGGAAAAAGCCTAAATCGGTTATTACTGAAGGTAATGACAAAAGATGTTTATGTTTACAAGACATTTTTTTTCAGACCTTCTGTTGTTCAATACTAGAATATCTGATTCCTCTTTGTTCTATGATTTATCGAGTGTTTCCATAGCACCCTGTCTACCATTGAGTGAGGCTCCTCTGTCTCTTTATTACCCCATGGTCATTTCAGGTGAACAAATGCTTATGCTCATTTTTGGAAAATCTTATGTCGGTTCTGCTTTTTGAAATTAGTTAAGCACCTTTAAACTCTTTTGCCTCATCTTTACTTCTTCCTGTGCCCCCAAATACTATTTAGGCTAGATTTCTTAGGAGCTATCTACCTATGATGACTTTAGCTGCAACTACCCTGAAAAAACCAATTCGTAAGTTGTTAAGCCATCTCCTGGTCATCTAAATTTATTTTATTTCCACTTTTTGCAAATAGACTGCTCTCCTCAGTAAAATCTCTCATGTTCACTTTCATTGCCCTAACTGTGTATCAGTTGCATAACATAACATAATTTGTTTCTGAGACAATCACTGGCAAAATGTTTATGTACCTAAATTTCTATCCGGGGTAATTACAATCAACAACACAACATTTTTTATCAAAAAAAATTCATTGATTCATTCACTGATTGATGGAAATCAAGAAAGCTAATGATGCTCGCAGGCAAGCTGCCCGTTAAAGCCTGAATTTTCTCCAGGCTTCCTTTCCACAATTCCTCAATTCCGCTTTACTATAGCGCCCTCAGTTTTATCATATTGTAATATTATCACCGACCCCGATTCCCTACGGATCCACGTTGAGAGTAATTTCACATAAATAACCTGACCATAGTGGCCGAGTATGAAGTCCTCGTCTCACGGTCAACACTAGCTTTTGCATCTCATTAATGTTTACGGTTTGTCATCGTCGCTTTTCTGATCATTTCAAACCAAATTCACGTACATTATCATCGCAACTGAATTAACACAACACAAATCGAGTAAAGCTCGCTTTAATACCTCACGTTGTGACGCAGCTGCCTTCACACTGTTTTCCTTGTTCGGCCAGTTAGCGCTCGCAGAAACTACATCATCCCTCTTCAATCAAAGTGAACATGTCAAAAAAAGACTCTGCATAACTGAGGCACCCTCAAAAAGCATACTAATCGATAAGCAAATGATAACCAAAACAGACAGAAATTGAATTTCAATGCCGTAAGACAATTACGTCACACGCCTGCGCAAGCGTAACACAAAGAACAAAACAACTTACTGAAGGCTCAAGTCTTCCACAAAAACTTAGTCGAAGCCGTTTCAATTTCTCCTGTTCGCGCCAAGAATTGAAAGAAATTACTTTTCTCAGGTTAGTATGGAGCCTTTACAAAGTGTCCTAGAGTATCATTAAGCTCGCTATTGGACTAAATTCATGAACAAGTTCAACGAAACGAATTTGTTCCCTTTCGGAGTTACCTTATTTGGCCAACTCCGGAGGAGAGCTTTGTAAAATGTCTCCAGTGTCTCCAGGGAAAAACAAAACCACCATCTGAACTCTTAAAAGTTCTTATTCAATCTTCAG